ATTTGGGACGGGGTGGGACCCACGGCAGCACTCGCTGCTCGTTGAGATGAGGAAAAACGATATGAGCTTTCACGTCTTCTCCAAAAGTCTCTAATAACACCAGAAAAAGTCGTTAGATTTGTCGTTAGTCGCTTTTTTGAAAATTTGTTGCTAGAGGGGTCTGAATACTCGCTAAATATAGTCACAAAGTCGCTAAGTTGGCAAAACTGTGAATATGTCCGAGCTTGCACTGACCGTCTCAACTCTGTCGTCATAATGTTAAGCCCGCCCACTGACTCTATACACGATGTAATTGGCCCTTCCTGAGTTGGGTTTTTCCAGCAAAAACGCGGTCGGCAGCCAATTGATGTTTGGGATGTGACGTCTGTTTTGAGATATTTCAAATATGAAAATTGTCCCGGAGTTTATGCTGGATTTAGTACGTAAATAATTTTGTTTACAATTCAGATGCTTTGCAGTTGTTAAATAATTCATTTTTGATTATGTTTTCATTGTGATTATACTGGCTGGGTTTATAAAGGTTTATTAAATTGACGGGATATCTTTGCTTGGGGCATTTATGTAAACAAAGCTTGTCTATTTCCGAATGTAATCGCGCCTGTAAAAGCAAACTCGTAATTCTAATTTAGTTTGTGAAAATTAGTAGCCTACATAAATTTACCTCAGCCCGAGGTTGACAACGTTTCAGAATCGGATTTTAACTGTAGGCTACGGAGTCTGACAAAGAGTCCGCGATGCATTTGCCTCAGATGCAGAAACGGCAAAAGTTACAAGGTGTTTCAAATGCATCTCCTTTGCGTAGGTCAGTGCTCTTTAAACGCTATAATAAGCTAATATAAATCACTGACAAACATGCACGTGCTCTGATTATAATCATATAGCCTATAGATCATTTTAGATGATGTTTTGTAAACTTTATTTTAGCAGCTTGCAAATTATTTATGCTATCTATGTTGGGGGAAAGTTGTAGGCTTTTGCGGCTCGCGCTTCAATCTATCGCCGTAGCGATTGCACGTGTACAGGCCGCCGCATAGTGTTGCTAAGAACTTGCAATGTATAAATATCAGACCGGCCCTCGCGAATTGAATTGTTTACTTTATTTCTTGTCTTGTATAACTTTTCTTATACCTTTTAGGCTACTTTTGGCTCTTACCTCATGTTTGTTCACTCACTGTTCCATGAGTTTGCGAAGTCGTCAGTGAGGAGGATGATGTTCCCGGAAGCGGTTTTTACAACTTGTGCAAATTTAAAGCAGCGCTCAGTAAGACTGGAAACTTCTTTGCTGTTTTCTCGCAGGTTTCTCTCTCGAGCTCCCCCTACAGTTTCGGAGTATATATACATGAGAAAACTGTCGTAAACTCGTTGTCAACTCCCCCTCCCATCTCCTTCAGGCAGGCCATGTGAATTTGTTTTCAGAGAAGCCGGCGAACAAACGGATTTTGTCCCCACCACTTTTGAAACATCTCGCGGCACAGATGTACCAATGCAAATAAAACATCTCCAGTTAACAGCATTCGTTTCATTTGTTTGTTAAATAACAGGCGATCTAGCACTGAAATGTGTTGGCTTCTCTCAGAAACGCGCTTCAATCCGTTGCGGAGATTCTTTCCGGTGAAATCACAAATAAAAATGCACACAAACGTGTCCCTTTTTCTCATGGTTTCTAATTCCTCTCTCGTATATTTTCCCCCACTCATCAAAACATATAAAACCACTGATAAACATTATATCAATTCAACCACTGATAAACATTATTGGTTTTGATGAGGGGGAAATAAAAACTATTCGAGTGCGGAACCTCTGGCCGGACCATCACTGTATAATGCTCGTTTTTATTTATGTGCATCAGGAAGCTATGGACATCGTCGTTCAAAATATTACCTACTCGAAAGAGAAAAAAGAATGAATGCGTTACCCAGCACTTTTGAAAATGCCCTTCCGAATGCGTCTCTGTCCCCAGCACATTTCAAACCAAACTGACGCCCGAGCCATGTCCACTGAGGTATGATTCTCAGAACAATATTATTATGTTGAGATAGTGTATATTTTTATTGTGTTACCAAACGTTATCAGTAACATTATGGTTAAAAATCAATAATACTATAAGAAATATTTCCGCTATTTATTTATTTTTAGTTTAGCCTACAGCTATAGCTACTTTGATTATGCATTATCAAAATACATGTTACGTTACATTCATCATTTTTCTGGTGATCCGAGTTGTCTATCGTAACGATTGACCAAAGAAAGTCAAACACGTTTAATTTGTTTATTACAAGTTTGTTTATTTTATTATTGAAGCTTGAGACCGGTGGTACTGGTGGTCTGGGGTGCCTCGGAGTTGATAACACTTGCCAACGCTTGTAGCTAAAAAGGAAAAAGAAAATGTATCAATCTTTTATCAACATATCATTTATAGACAAGGTCAAAATAGCACAGATGGAGTTGCATGTGTGAAGTTGCAATGCAATTTCTCGTTTACTTATAGTTCTGTTTGTGTAAATGTGGGTAAATAAATATAAAAAAGTTGCATTATTAGCTAGCAGCTCTCGTGTCGGTTTATGCATTATCAAGTCAGCAGCACAGTATAACGTTACTAATTCTGAGGCTGACGACAAGCTAAACTAATGCATAATTTGTAGAATTTCATATCGATTTATAGGCGATCTGAGAAACACAAATAAACCCTGATAGAGGAACGGACAAAACACTTACTTACAGAAAACAAGCAAGTTTGTTTGCTAATGAAAATGCTAACATCTAAGTTACAGTATAACGTACTAGTAAGCCGGTAACAGACAGCGAGCATAATATAATAAAAAAAAAAAAAAAACAGACAATAGCAACATCCCGACTCCCGAGGTCACAATTACAAGAAATACAAACATTAAACACAGTTTATTATAAAGATACTTACAAGTGCAACAGCAAGAAGGCCAGGTCAGCATCGGTTTTGCAGGCTTCGCTTTCTTTCAGTTCTCTCTATTCTGAAAAAGCCGGTCCGTTTCTCTTCTTTGTTTCTCTGATAAACACTTCCGAGCTGTCTTCTTCTTCTTTTACATCAGCCATCACGAAAACTTGAAGAATTCAATATCTAGCGTTACCTTTTTCTTATAGCTAGCCGGCTCCTGGATGGCCGGGGGCGTGTACGCATGCGTGTGCGCGTATAGTGCCGTAAAGCAATTCGTTACCTCGCGAGACCTGAAATCTCACGATACTTCCTAACACTGAGGCCAAAATCAGTAATATTAACATTACAATGACTCCAAAGCTGTTCAGTTAAGGTAAAAAAAGTTACTTAGTTCTGCTTTAAAGAACGCGTCACATTTTTTTTTTGTTTATTATCCTTTTTCTTTTTTTTCTCCTTCCCTTTCTTACGGTAGTTGCCTCTCCCAAAATGATACAATCGATCCATACCAAATTTAATAGGCTAATATTAGAAAAATGTATGTCGCTGTTCCAAACAAAAAGTAAAAATATAATTAAAATGAAAAACTAAAGTAAACATAATTAGATAACTTTGTGTATGTGTGTTTAGTTTCATCTAGTCTCATCTAATCAGTTAAACGAGCAGGTTGGTCAATGTCAATGACAAATTTCACAAAATTTCCATTACCTAAATGTGGCTTAAGGTATTAAAAACATGAACATTAGCTGCTTTGAAACAATGTGTTTTCCAGAGTGAAGGAAAATACACAACTGATCAAAGCCAAAAAAAAATATTGAATATTAAATATTGTACATTTAATATATACTAAGTAATCAATTATATATTGTAGAGGGTTATCAAACGTAATTCGTTTACTAAAATATTAGGCAACACTTAATTTTAAGGTGACGTAGTTACACATTACTACATGTACTTAAACAGTAAATTATGCACAATTAAAACTAACCCTAAACCAAACTCTAACCCTAGGAAGTACTATATGTAGGTATCTCAGTGGCAGTTCTTGTGTGTGTGTGTGTGTGTGTGTGTCCACTGACATGGTCATTTTGAGGCACATTAAAATTGTTGATAAATTAATAACCATTTATAAGACAACTGGACAGTCATCTGTTTAATTGAAATTGTCCGTTCAAAATAATAGTAAAATGAAGCAAACTTAAACCTGTTGCCTTTAACTGTAAGAAATATGAACATCACCAGTAGACGGCGCTACAGTCATGTTACAGTGCTTTCCAGTTGCTTATACAACAAAAAATGGAACTTGAGACCCACTCAGAGAAACCCATCATTTATCTTCAGACCAAATCTGAAGAACTGCAAGCACATTATCTGTTGTACAGAACTTTCTTAGAAAGAAATAATCTTTTTACACCCTTTGCAATTCTGTTTATAGTTTAAATGTACCCAATTTGTTCACTTAGAAGCCAAAACTCTATGTTTTAGAAACAACTACATTTTCACACATGCATTTGTTTATTTTGTAAATATGTACAGTACAATATAAGTCAGTTCAATAACTGTAAAATTCATCAATTGTGCATATGGACTGTGTATGTACTGTAGTTGTGCACAAGCGACACACTACTCTTGTGTCTTGCTTGTGGAGTGTACAGGAGTTTTTTTACATCTGTGCAAATTTCTTGCAAATAATTTGATGTATGCATAGTTATTAGACAATAACACATTTATTTGAAGAGTTGTAGTCTTAGATGAAGTGTTGCTTTTGCAAAAGATCCAGTAGTGTGGCATTTTGCATGCTATGTGGTTGTCTTCAGGAAATGGGGCTTGTTTCAGAAAAAAACTATTTGAAAAAACCTAAGTGTGTAGTTCCGTATTTTTTGCAAACATGTACCATAAATAATCAGAAATCATGAACAGCCATGAAGCTTATTCATTTGACAAGCTTTTCCCATTGCGCTCCATTTTATATATATATATATTAGTTACTCCTTGTTTGTTTGTTTGTCTGCAACCCAGAATCTTTGTGTACATATTCAGTTGTAAAATACTGAAAGGCTACTGGCCATGTAAATGAAAAGCAAGACAAATCAACATTTTACAGCTACCTTTATTTATATAAAAATACAAAACTTAAAAAAAAAAAGTTTCCATAGGAAAGCAATATGAATGCAATCCCATCTCTTTCATATCCGCTTCAAATGCATCAGTGGCATACAATTCAGATCAATAATACATATTTCAGATCAATAATCGTAATGTTAAGTTATTAATCAAGCAAAAAAAAAAAAAAAAAAAAAAAGAGAGAGAGAGAAATGGTCACTGAGGAGGAAATCTGTGCGTGTCTGTATGGAGGGCGAGATCGAAAAGCAGCCATTTCATGAAATGTTCCCCCAACAAGCTCTTAACGCTCCTCCATGGAAAGTAGCATGTGTAAGAGAGGGAATTAGTTCAGGAATAGACCTTCAAACACATTCAAACCTCCCTTGTATCTGGCCTCAAATTACAAGTATATATGTAAAATATGTATACATAAATAAAAAATAAGTAGAAAAAAAACTAAATTAAGAAACAGCCATAGGACTGTCAGACAAAATGGTGCGTCTTTCAGGTCTGCAACTTTTACAAACAAGAGGTAAAAGAGCTGCATTTAGAATAGTTAATTAAACTTATGTTGTAATTCAAAAGCACAAATCTGGAACTGGACCTCTGGTGTAAAATGCATGTCTGAATGAGAGCTGTCTCAAGCGGTGGAGGTCAGAGAGCGTCACAGCACGTGAGTAGGGGTCGGCTTGGCTGGCACGTCCAGGGTGCTCTCGTGCCCGCAGTGCGATGGCATGTTTCCAGAGCTCTGCTCCTCAGCAGGAAGTGGAATCCCCTGGTCACGGATCTGCAGCATGCACTGCCTACAATGAAAGAAACAGCCTTTTCCATTAACGATTCTTTTAGTACAATAATCTGTAACACCACAATAAGGTGCATTAGTTTACATTAGTTAATATGAACTAACAATGAGCAATGCATTTGTTACAATATTTATTGATCTTTTTATTAACTATTAATAAAAATCCAGCTGTTCGTTGTTTGTGTTAGTTCTTGGTGCATTAAGTAATGTTAACCTTTGATTTTATTAATATATTAGTAAATGTTCAAATTAGTATATTATATCAACTAAGATTAATAAATGCTGTAGACGTATTGTTCATTCTTAGTTCACATTAACTAAGGTAGTTAAAGGACAACTCCGGCGCAAAATGAACCTTTGGTCTAATTGCACATTGTTACCTATTCAACCGTTATCTGAGATTTTTTTTCATGATTGCCGAATCTAAATAGTTTTATCTATTAAAACAGTTTAGCCTATAATGCTAGTATAACGCTAGTCTATAGGGCATAGAGTAATGACAAATAAAAATCGCTTGTTATTACCACTAACAAGGCTCAAAATAGCCCCACGCTAACACGGTAGCACAATAAGGATCCCTACATGCAAACCGAAGCATTGAGAACTTTGTCAGTGTCCATACAGTTTAATAAAAATATATTTTATACACAGTCAACTTCGCGAATACAGGAAGAAGCCATCTTTGAAAAATAGTCTCTACTAGTCGATCTACGAACGCCGATCCAAGTGCGCTGAACTGTGCAGAATCTCATATGGTCCGTTTGTTTCGGGAAGAAACACCAACACGAACCATTTTCTTCTCTTCAATATGTACACATAGCCTACTGTTCGCGCTCACATTATCACTTTATTCACATCTCACCAGCGCGCTTGGATCGGCGTTCGTAGATCGACTAGTAGAGACTATTTTTCAAAGATGGCTTCTTCCTGTATTCGCGAAGTTGACTGTGTATAAAATATCTTCTTATTAAACTGTATGGACACTGACAAAGTTCTCAATGCTTCGGTTTGCATGTAGGGATCCTTATTGTGCTACCGTGTTAGCGTGGGGCTATTTTGAGCCTTGTTAGTGGTAATAAAAAGCGATTTTTATTTGTCATTACTCTATGCCCTATAGACTAGCGTTATACTAGCATTATAGGCTAAACTGTTTTTATAGATAAAACTATTTACATTCGGCAATCATGAAAAAAAATCTCAGATAACGGTTGACTAGGTAACAATGTGTAATTAGACCAAAGGTTCATTTTGCGCCGGAGTTGTCCTTTAACTAATGAACCTTATTGTAAAGCGTTACACAATAATCATACTTTTTGTTGGGATAGGGGTATTATTTTTAGTTATTAAAAAAAATATTATGTATAATTTTAAACTAAATATTTAAGAAACTCAGTGTTATTTTAGACACTACTGAGCATTTTAATAAGGTGTTTGGTCCAAACTAAAGACCTTAAAGAATATCATGAAAATGGCTTTCCCAAACCCAACTTACCAGGCTGTTCGGGACATGATGTAATGAATGTCGGGTTTCTGGAAGCCATTGAAGGTGGAGGATGCGGCTACAGTGTAGGCACCCATGTTCTCAAACAGCAGCCAGTCGCCCACCTGCATGTCCGGCAGGCTGCACTGCTCCACAATGCGGTCCAGCCCATCACAGGTGGGTCCCCAAATACTGCATGGGTACATGCGCTCATCAGGCTTGGGTTTCTACAAGAGAGTATGGGTTAGTTTCTGGAGGATAAAAACCATCATCGAACTAAAAAAAAAATCTGATGTGCTAAAACTCATTTCCACACCTTGTGCAGAGTGGGTGAAACATGCGCATGGTCGTACAGAATGCAGTTGAAGGAACCATAAACGCCATCATTGACGTAGTACATCAAGGTTCGGTCATTGGTCCCATCATCTTCTTCTGAAGTGGGGAAAAAATTAAACCAAATCAGTCATCTGTCATCAATTCAGCTAAAAGCAGCTCTACAGAAGACAAGTGTCATAATTCAGATCAATGTTGATTCAATTCAGTTTAATTACAGACAATGCTCAATTCTGTTTAAATTTTCTTATCCAGTAGTGTCAGTGCAGTTAAATCGATAACATTGCTGAATAATATTAATAAGAGCATATTAGAAACAAACAGTTTTGGATGTTAGCTGTTACCGTCAGAGGCTGATTGCTCCTTCATGATGACCTTTTTGGCAATGATGTTGACCGCCAGCGTGTATGCAGACGCCACGTAAAAGCGTCCAGGTTCAGAAATGATCCTCACGCCGGAGTCAGCAGGAAAATATTTATCCAGTGCAGGGTTAATCACAGCAGCGATCTGCAAACCAAAAAAAAAAAAAAAAAGTTTATCATCTAAACATCTTTGAACTTTCAAACATCTTGAAAGTTAAGATGGTGATTTAAAAAAATTCAAATAACAATACCTCTTCAAATTTCAGTTTGGTGTCATCTGAGCCTGGAAAGCCTCCGCCAATATCAATCAGGGTCATGTTATATCCCAGCTCCGCCTGGTGGACAATGCATTTTTCACATTAATTATACACTTTCGTAGAAATTAGTTTTTTTTTTTAATTTCTACAGTAAAAGGCCACTCACCCCCATGTCAAAAACACAGCGTGCATCTGAAATGGCCTGCCGGTATGTCTCCGGATCAGTGCATCCGCTGCCCACATGGAAACTGACTCCGATCACATCCAGCCCAAGCTCCTTCGCCCTCTCCAGCAGCAGACGGCTGCTCTTTAACGTGGCACCAAACTTCACACTTAACCTGCACACGGCCTTGGAGTCATCAGTGGCGATACGGAGAACCAGTCTGCAGACAGAGAGTATGGGTTTAATGGTCATGAAAACCTTGCTCACAATCTTCCATTTCTTTTATTAGTCTGTAGTGGTCAACTGATATTTGGGAGTTTTTTTACATTATCGACATTATAAAAGACTTTCATTTTGATTGAGAACACCCAAGCACAGGCTTAGTCAATTTAACAGTTAATTTCCCAAGTTGAACATTTTTCTAAACATTTATTAAAATAGTTAAGTAAATTCTTTGTAAAATATAATTGCTGTAATTGTTATGCTTGTTACTAGCCGCCCTGCTCTCTAAAATCCATATCGGTCGACCACTATTACTTTGTGTACTGCAAGTGAGAAATGGTTTTCTTGCGACGTTACTCACTTGGCACTATCATGGCACCGTGCGACCTTCATGAGCTCCACGTCGCTGTCAAACGTCATCATCTGCACGCCGTGAGCGGAGGCGTATTTGATCTGAGACACCTGCTTGCAGGGGTTAGCGTAGATGATTCTGCTGGAGTCCACACCCACAGACTGCACGAGCTGGATCTCCGTCTGGCAGAGGATTAAAAGTCAGGTCAATACAGGATTAAAGCTGCTAAACATACTTCGTGTTTGCTGCTGAGGTTATTGAGACACGTGGAGAAGTCACGGTTACGATTTAAGGGACTTGAATGAAGAATCTTCCATACCTTGCTCGCACAGTCGAATCCCGCTCCCAGGGACGCCAGTGTCGAGACAACAGCCCTGCTGTCGTTGCACTTCACTGCGTAGAACGGAGTGATTCGAGGTAAAACACGCAACCAACGGAGGTGCTTCTTCAGGACGTCACCTAGGTCAGCCACGTAGAAGGCATCTTTGTCATCCTAAAGGAAGAGAAGAGATGTGATCAGAACTCTTGACTGTATATGCAGGAACAAACAGAAGTATATCAAGATGAATTATAGAGCACGAATCTCATGAAAACGTGACCATGTCACATATCATCTCAAAAAAATTGTGCGTAAACAAAAGGAGTCATATTTTTATATTAACATTGATTATTTTTTACAGCAATTAAAGCAAGACACGACAGGTGAATAAGGTTAAAAAAAAGACATCATACTTCACAGAAAACAAGTTTTCTGAAATATTATATGAGCATTAGTGAATTAACACCACTTGCATACATACATTTTCAGAACAGAAATCAGAAAAATTAGATTCAGAATCAAAATTCTTGTTTTAGTATGTTGACATATTAAAAGTTTATCACTACATAAATCAGACAACACTGTCAACAACCTGAAAAAAAAACATGTTTTCAGAAATAAAATGTTGAATAAAATCAGGCAAAAGATATTTGGGGGGGATTACATATATAATGTATATAACAAAATAACATATAACAAATTACATATATAATTTGTTCAGACAAGTGCAAAGACAAAATTCATATATATAAAAAAGCCAAATAGGCCCAAATCTCAAACTTGCTGAAAACAGCATTCCTTGCCTAAGGCGGACAGGTAGGAATGCAGGTATAAAAGGAGGGGTTAACTCACCGATAAGGACGACTCATTGATCTTCTGTTCCACGATATCCCGTGCACAGAATCCCTCCTCCAGGAAGGTGAAGTCTGAGTCTGATCCAGTCAGTGTGGTCATCATGTTTGTTCAAGAATTGATTGCAAAAGAAACTGTAAAAAAAAAAAAAAAGGAAAAAAAAAAGAAAAGACAAGAGTGTTATAAATGTGACCTCTAAGATAACAGACTTTAATCTGACAGATAGTCTTTCCTTGAATTCAACGGCCACAGTGTCCTCAAACAAGCACCTTATCTTTGCTCCAGTGACTCTGAACAGGACGACTATCACAGCTACTGTGCAGTTAGTCTCCACTAATCTAGTATGTTAATATGAATGAGACACCACAAGAGTTATCAATAGTTTTTATTTGTACATTGTCATTTTAAAGTCTAAATTGTTATGGTGTCATTTTTATTTATTTTAAAAATGTTTATAATATACTTTAATAGAGTTGTATTTAGTTATTCTAGCACATCAGAATAAACGAAATGAAAATGAGGATTGTTTGCTTGGCAATTAACATTCATTTTTTTCTCAGATCTGCATAGACTAACAACTGCAAGATATAAAGTCCATTTATGAGGAAAAAAGGCAGACATTTTCTCAAAATAACGAGTTTATATCTCTCAGCAACACATCACAACTTCTCTCAATATCTACTTAATGATTTCATTATAGCACTACACATTACAAACATATTCATTTTCTTACAAACTATTCATTTCTTTCTTTCTTCTTTTTTTGAGTCACTTATAATGGCTTACCAGATGAATGGAAGAGATGGAATTATAATATGCTAGCAGACGTCAGCCAGCCAGGGAGGTTCACCAGTGAAATTGAATCCTTTCAGATAAGCCTCAAGGCCAGGGCCAGTGTGTACTTCTCTCAAGCAAGAATTCTGAAATTGATTAAAATGACAAGAAAAAATATTACGCCGTACTCTTTACAGTCCATAAAAGCCTAAAAAGAATGTAATAAATCAGTCCAATATATACGAAGTTTCTGGTAAGTCACATTGTGTGTGAAACTTTCATTGCATTTATTAAAGTTACAACACGAAATCATGTGTGTTGTTTATCGTGAGAGACAGACCACATCGTGTAAGTTTAGGAAATTTTTTCTCGGCGGAACTGGAAACCGCACACATTTTGTACACGCCGCCGGGCATTTACGTAAAGACAGACAGTAAAATTAGTCCCTCCCCTTTGAAGACCGCGACTACACCAGTTACCCAATAAGGAAAGGCTCTGTTTGCACGAACTATAACAGGCATTCGAGTCAGCCAATCACTGATCAACTCCAGGCGGCTTCCGATTTCAGTTCAGCCAATAGAATGCAGTCGTTCAGGCTAGTAGGCTTTGCAGCGTGTGAGACTTCCGACTGACTTTATTCATTGATCTTGAGAATAACGGTTAACGGTTTAATTGCTCAAGATATACAAGTAAGTTACTTCGCGCGTGTGGTTACGACAATAAAGATATTAGTTATAAAATTTATAAAAGCCGAAGTTAAAATTACGCAAGAAAGCGTGACACACCGGCCACGTTGACTCACAGTCTCACACACCACAGAAGGCCATTATGTCATAACATACGCCACTACACAAATCAAGCTCTTTAAAAGTCAGAAAAACACTTTTAGCGTTGTAACTAGCGGCTAGTTTCTTAGATTATAATAAGACTGTAACTTACCATACTCAAAGCGTATCCTAACATAACGGCTATAAGTTAATTATACTAAATTTCACTCAATAATAGCATATAACTCACCTTAAAACGCATTTACAAAGAGTGTTCCCATTAGATCAGACAGTTGAAAAATATTAACGTTGTTCTCCTCGCGCACAAACGGCTATGGTGATGATCAACTGGCAAACTGTCGGAGTAAAGCCGGCGCTCCCTCTCAGCCCTATATATAGTGACGTGGTTTCCAAGGTGACGCACTAGCTGAAACCGGCTTCCTTCGAAGGAGTGAACCGGTTTGGTCTTGTTAGCGGCTTGAAGAAGCGCGAGGCCGCGAGCGAGTGAGTGAATGATAATGGAGGATAAAGAACTAGAAGTGACATACTTCCCGCTTCCCATTCAAACAAAGGAACTTACTTATTTGGTAAATAAATTAATAAATATTATACTAAAACATTCTAATGATAAAGAATCCCTTAAAATGAACAACATGCTAAAAATATACAGCTGTAAAAGAAAGAAAGGGAAAAAAAAAACAGGTTTTGTGGTTTACTACAAAATCCCAACTGAACTTTGTTCCTAATTGGAAAAGTTTATAGTTGTAGGAAAGTTTGAATTTCTTTCTGCGACATAGAAAAGTTTGAAAAGTTATTATTGATAAAGTAAGACTACTACAGATTTTCTGTAGCTAATTGATATGAAAATAAAAGTAAAATGCAAGTGTTATAAATATGAATATTAGATGTATGACTAACAAAAGTACACACTAAAACTTGAAATATAATGGTAAAAGCTAATTCAAAATGTTTAAATAATACTATAGCACTATATATTTTCACTCTCTCTTAAATTATTTGGCTAAAGTAATTTTGATTAAATCCCTCTGTTAACTGTATACAATGCAAATAAATAATAGAATAGGTCTTTAGCAGCTCACAAGGATTGGCAAAAATAGAAAAAGCATAAATTTAAGACAGTGTGGTAAAATAAACGATAGTTTTTGTTCAAAAAACATCATAGTGCTGTAACAATATATAATAGATTTTATAAGTATGACAGTATAATGTAGATATACTTACACATACATAGCTATACACACACATATAGATTTCAACATAAAAAAAAAATCATATTATGGAGTACAGTGTAATGAGTGTATGTGTGTTGGCTGAGGATAGGTGTTGTACTTCCAGTTCGTGAGACAGGTTTATTGCACCCCAGTGTTTGGAAGTGAAAGGAGGGAAGAGAGAGGAGGAAGATATATTAGGGGAAAACAGTTATACAGCTACATTTGCATTTCATTAGTAGCCTAACACTTGTATTTAGATCGGGCCAGTGCGGATGATGATGTCATATGGAGGAGAGTTTTTGTGCCTTTGTAACTTTGCTCCTTTCTCCTAACCAAAGCAATCCGGTTCCAGTAAAACCTCGCTTTCATGACAGCAGCTTTCAGTCCAAATGTTGCAAGACCTTGCTGAAGATGGATGTTTCCTCACCTTTTGCACAAACGCTCCCTTCCGTCTTTTATCTTTGTTCTGCAGACTTTGTTGTCATCCTGCCAGATGTTAGAAATTAGCAGTGGACACTAAATATATCAATCCTAAAACTCCCCATAATCAAAGGAGTAGACTAAGCATGGCTATATCCTGTGCACCTGGGCACTGCGCAAACAACTTTTTCCTTCTTCTTTTTGAAATAGACAATATTTAAGAAGAAAATTAGATCCATTGAGGTTCAGGAGCATCTTAACATAGATTTGACTGACGTAAAAGCGCAGTATTTCATACTGTATTCACAATATAGGCCCTTGTTGTCATATTAGTTGGCATTACATTAAATGATTTTATCTTAAAGGGATTGTTCACTTTGAAATTAATTTTTCGTATGTTTTAGCTTACCTCAAGGGAATCCAAGATGTAGTGTCTTTGTTTCCATAGTAGTTTCAATTTTGATATTTTTAGGTCAAACCGTTCTTGTCTGTCAGTCATTTAATGCAGGTCTATGGTCACCACCTCAAAGATCATGCACAGAGAAGTCCAAATTAAACATAAGTCACAACCTAAGACACAAAACGAGCGGTTTGTGTGAGAAAACGAACAGTATTTATTTTGTTTTTACCTCTTGTAACCACAGCCACGTCCAAGTGATCAGAGGGTGCGGGCGCTTTGGTCTGCGCAAGCGCCGGAAGTGATCTCTCGTGTGTTTACGTCACTCATTGTTTACACAGAGATTTCGTAAGTGTTACCCTTCACTGTAAAGATCTAAACATATTTAAATATACCGGAAATTGCAATGCAAGACGATTTCAATGTATCAACAGACAACGTTGATTTCCGCAACTGCGCGAGAGAGATCACTTCCAGCGCTTGCACAGACCGAAGCGCCCGTGCCCTCAGATCACTTGGACGTGGCTGTGGTTACAAGAGGTAAAACGATATAAATACTGTTAGTTTTCTCACACAAATCGCTCGTTTCGTGTCTTAGGCCATCAATGTGCACTTACATTTACGAGTCATTAAATCATGTTTTATTTGGACTTCTCTGTGCATGCTATTTGAGGTGGTGACCATAGACCTGCATTATATGACTGACAGACAAGAACGGTTTGACCTAAAAATATCAAAATTGAAACTACTACGTAAATAAAGACACCTACATCTTGGATGCCCTTGAGGTAAGCTAAGGCTATGTTTACACGGAAACGATTCTGAAGAGAAAACGCAAAAGTGGCGTTGCGTTATCACTTTTTATTGTGCGTTTAGACGAGCGTTTTGGGTGGGAAATCCGCGTGCATATGGTGACGCAAAAGTGTGTGAAATTCAATGTAGTATGCACTATATGCACAGTATGCGGCTAGGTGGCGATGTGAAGCACTGCCACACAACAACACCAAGTCCGCGCGCCTGCGTACAACCGTCACTGTCAAGCAGACTTTTACGTTTTTACCGGTTTTTACCCTTTTACACGGGAACACGGCGATGGAGCGTTTTTAAGATTTCCACTCTGGAGGGTGGTTTCACTTTTTTGCGTTTTTAAGCCCCAAAAACGCTGTTGCCGTGTAAACGAAAGGCACATCCGATTTCATCGACGTCATCCGACGTTTTCACCCGCGAGCGTTCTCTTGTAAACAGGGCCTCAAACATACCAAAAATTAATTAAAAAGCAAACTATCCCTTTCACAGCCGGATATCAGACTACTGTTATCTTTTTGTTATCTGCTGTAATCGATGTATTATTGTTGCAAACACTGACCAAAATTACTGGCAATCACCTCTAATCAATCAATTAATAATAAAAACTATGCATATTATTTTGTGAATTCATACAGAATTGTGCTTAAAGTCCCTGTAAAGTCAAAATTAAGTAGGTGTTTTGAGTCTGTCATACCACAGAAAAATGTGATATTAGCCACCCAGCCAAATTTGAATGATAAAAAAGCAGGCAAGTACATAAAATAAGCTATCAAAATCATGAAAAAATCAGTAGTGATCTCTGTTCTCAAACGCTGGGGGCGTGTCTGCTGGCTGCGCTGAAACCACGCCCACTCACAGGAAAGCTGTCAATGGTGATATTAGGTAAAACTGCTCTCGGAAAGGGAGGATGAACGCTAAGGCGGAAGATAGTCGTTCCGGCCCCGTTCACCAGCAGCATCGGATTATCAGTGAATGCCAGTTTTCTCTGAGGAAAGTTTATAAAACGATCCTGTGTAAAATGATCACTACAGAGACGGGTGTTGCTGGCGGTGATCCTCAGTTCTTCATCGAGGTTGGCTCTACACAAAATGAATCCACCTCTTCTTGATGTGATCGGTTTTCGGAAATTTAAATAAAGACACCAATCTGTTTTGTATATGATCGCATCCAGGTAGTAGCCTATGCATTTCCTTGTCTAAGACATAGCAAGCTAGCAAACTGTAGACTGTTAACTATAGTACTGACAGTAACTCGCGATTGAGCGGCGAATGCAAATGTGCTCTATTGTTAGGGGAGAGATCATCTCCTGTCTATGGATCAGCAAACGTGCGTCATCAAGTTGGGGCGTGTCCACGAGCTCTTGGGCTCCAGTGCGTCATCGAGCCCTGTTTTAGCCCCGCCCAAAAAATCCGTAAAATTGCAATGGTGAAAAACTGTTTAACGGTCTAACTCCGTATTTCAGTAATTCACGGTTCACAGTCTTTGTAATAAGTTTTAGCAATACATTTGTAACATTTATTATGTTTTTAGAATTTTTTTGTTGAATTACCATTACAGGGACTTTAAATGTATTCACAAATGCTATCACTACTGGAAAAAGCCATAAGCCTCTGTGTTTCACATCCTTGATGTGGCTTTTTCCCTGCTCCCTTTAACTCAATGATCCATGAAGACTACATCGCTGTGGTCAGGAATACATTTTCCAGATGCAAATGAGCCCAGACCTTTTGTAATTCATCGTCTTGTTTCCAGAATCCACACAGAACCATTAGAGGTCAACTAGAACATGAGGTCATTGTTTATTACTGTCTCCGAACACCACAAACCACATCACTTTCTCGTGAACGCAATAAAATTTAAAGCGCAAGAAAGTTCCTATGTCAGTTTTTCCCACTGCCATAAGGCTCCGGGCAACACTTTTCATGCGGCAACTTTTTCCACCCTTATCAAGATCTAAATAGGTTTTCCTAATCTGTCAATCATGAATTTTCTCTGGAAGTTAGTACAGAGACATCATGTAAAGAATAAGGAGATTTCTCGTTCTTTCCCTCTACCTACACGGCCTTAGAGGACATTATAAGGATTCAAATTGGATTTACTGTATGTGCAGTTGATAATTATGGCAATATACTGATGTTTACAGCTGTGTGTTGATTTGGAGAGAGACAAAATGGCACGTGCACAATATCATAGTGTCAGTAATATGATATACACAACACACGGGCTGTTCTGTGTACAGTATACACAGTCTTGAACTAAGAACCTCAATACCTCTATTTCTACCAACAAGGATATTTTGAGTCAAAGCATTTTGAAGGGTATGCCTTATTTGATCAAACCCAAACCCTTGACATAAACAATGAGAACATGCTAGGTAAATAATAGAGTTTTTGTTTCACTTAGCAAAATCATCACATATAGAAATATCCCAAGAGATCAGAAAAAAACCCCAAACAATTATGGTATAGTAAGATACTGCTGCGAGGAACAAAGATGTTTCCATCCACATATTTTAATGCT